GCTCTCCTCCAGGTGAGAGCGGAGCCGGCCCCGGTGGCCGCATGTTGCGGGTCGCGGCTCCGGGGGTCTCCCAGGCTGAGGAGAAACAGGCCGGGCCGCGGGGCCGTGGTGCAGGAGGTGGCTGTTCTCGGTTGTTTCCCGTCAGGATTTGTGCCAGGGGCCGAAGAGGGGCCGCGGCGGCCTGAGCTGTGTAAGTGTCCCGGGTGCTGCGCTGCGTGTTCCGTGTCTCGACACTCCTCGCACTCCGCAAACCAGTCCATTGTGCGTTAGATCAGCGACAACCTCAGAGTGTCACTTCTGTCGAGCATAGTCAGGGCGCGTATTGCTAACCGGGACCCGTAAAGCCCAATCCCCAGCGCGGTGCTAGCGTTTTACCAAGAGCCACGTGAGCCTTTTGCTCTGAGGTGTATTTTATTCGTGCTGCCTCGTAGGCGGCTCCCAGCATACTGAAGTGGCCGACCCCGGCTGCCGCAGTTCCAGCGCAGGATAGGGCGCGCTGCGGCAGCTCATGGACTTCTGGTTGTGTTCTAGGTGTGTGCCTGGTTCCTGCAGAGATCGAGGCTTCATTTTCTTCCTGGTTCCCGTTTCGTAGCTGCTCGTTATTTGGGCATGTGGAAATGGTGTTTTGATTCAGTCGGACGGGGACCCCCAGCCCACCCTGCTGGCACTTCAGATGCCGCAGGGTTTCCAGTTATGCCAATGCCCTGAGAATCCCGATGGAACAGACATGGTGGCAAGTTGGGGAGTGGCCGCTGCACTCAGCGTATCCGGCTGTGCCGAGCAGCCCTCTCCAGTCCCGTGTTTCTGTGTGTGTAAGGATCTGTGCGGGCTCTGTGGGAAGACACTGAAACATGAGCTGGGCGGTTTGGGTTTAGCACAAGAGCACAGACCCGCGTTCAGGGGGCCGGGAGGTTCGTTTCCTGCCCTGGGGACAGGGCACCGCGTGTGCTCCAGGAGGGGAGTCTCTGAGATTCCCCGGTCAGGGGTGGGCAGACGCTGCGCAGCCGTGCTGGGGGCTGCCTGTCCGCTCCCTTACTGCCACAGGTACAGAAACCTGTCACCACTGTTTTATCAGGTTCTAGTTTAGAAGCAGATGGGATTTTTGCTTCTATATCCTTCTTAGTATGGAAGGATGTTTTGGAGCCTGATTGCTGTAATCGCTAGAAATCTCCAGATTCCTTGTCACGTGTATTAATGGCCAGTTTATATCCATTGATTCTTGACTCACAGTCTTGATCTGAAATTGTTCCTTTACCTCTCTGGCGCTGACTCCCAAGTGTACAGGCAGACAGATTTACCACCCCTTGGTCTGTGCTTTGGCAGACTAAGGCTAGCTAGGCAAGTTCTGCTGGTGGGAGGCAGAAAGCTGCTCAGTAGTTGGTGAGGGGGTGGATGCTGTGTGTGTGCTGTTGCAGACCTGGCACGTCCCCGCTTTGGACACCCTCGGGGCTGGCGTGGGGAGGGGGTGCCTCCCCCCTGGTGTGCACGGGCAACCTTCCCCTGCCTGGGCTCTCCTCCCACTCCTCTGAGGATTCCCCTGGGGCTCTGCACGACATCCAAAGCTTGTGAGGAATGCACATCTCACCCCAAATAACAGAAAACACACAGTAGAGCAGCACAGGCATCTAGGGGCCCCATGCTACTCCCACCCCCAACTGGGCGGGCGGTCTGAGGAGAGGGGAGGACGTAATGAAAAGCATTTGCTGCAGCAGCTATTTTGTGTTTGGGAGCGGGCAAGGGACAGGCGTCGCCCTGCCTGCCTGACCTCAGAGCTGACGTCAGGGAACCCCAAATGAATAACAGGGAGTGCTCCAGAGAGAGGAGCACAGACAGGCTGCCCAGCATGGAAGGTGAGCCATCAGCACCACTGCACCAGGGAAGAGAGACACTGGGAGGAGGTTTTATTCCTGCAGAAGGGTGCTCTGTACCCACAGTATCAAGACTCTGGCTTCAGTTCAAGGTGGGCCAAAGAAGTTTGGGTCTTTCTATGGGCTGACTCAGCAACACAAAATCTGTGCTTCTGATCTACTACAGGCGTCTTCCCCATATTCTGCTGTCTTAACCACTTGGATGCATGCTGAAGGTTATCAGTTGCAGCATGGTCTCTGTATCAGCTGGCTCCTGAGAAACAGTTCTAGGAATGAGGAGAAGGTTACAGATCTGTGTTGCTGCTGAGCGATAGGACTGTGCCTTAAAAATATTGCTACCCAGAATATTTGGTTCTAACGCTGCTGATATTGCCCTGTTGCTCCCAGTCACTGCAAGAGTAGAGGTCTGGGTTTATCTGTCAGTCTAGGACAACGTGGTAAGAATTGTATCCAGGAGAACATATGGTATGAGTCTGAGATCTCAATCATTTTATTGTAATGTGATGCCACGGGGAGGCCTCAGTGACAGGGCAAGGCCTCCTCAGGCTACAGCCTGTGCAGCAAAATGTAGAGATAAACAACTTTGCAAAACACATCTGTGTCATCAAAGAGGCTGTGATTAACAAAACAGGATACAATGGCAGAATCATAGAATGGTTTGGGTTGGAGGAGACCTTTAAAGATCATCTAGTCCACCCCCCTGCCCTGAGTAGGGACATCTTTCACTAGATCATCTTGCTTAAAGCCCCGTTCGACCTGACCTTGAAGACAATCACAGGAACCAACTTCCTAGTCGTTGTTAAGAATGTAAACATGTTCCAAAAAAATCCATCACAGCCAAGGAAGATACTGAGCTTTTCTCCTTCTGTGGCATCCGGTGGAATATCTTCTTCAAAAAACGTGATGGAAAGGAAGTTTAGAAGCTACCCTTAGGTACTAATGGCAGTGATGCTGGAAATGGAGAGGAGAAACAATCATCCTGTGTCTTGTCACAGAAGTTAGGAGGTGCAGAAAACAGTTGTGAGGACTTGTAAAAGGTAAAAGAAGAAGTTTGTTTATCGCCTTGTAGGGACTGTGCAGTGGAGGAGGGGGAGCGGGTGAGGGTGTGGCTGAAGGGCTGGCCTGGAGGGATCACATCTGCACCGCTCTTGTGATGGACTTAGGTTTGTGACTAACGAGGAGGGTGGAAACAGCCAGCTGGGGAGATGTGGGGACAAAGAATGTTGAGGTAGGGTTTTGGTTTTCTTTTGCTTTTGTTTTGCAGGGATCTTGGACCAAAGGATCCTGGGGAATTACCAGTGCACTGATATTTAGGGGATGAAAATGGCATGTCTTGTGCAACTGTTGGACACCACCGTGGAAGGGTCGACCACACATTGTAAGAGGGAGTGATGACTGCCATTAACGATACAACCAACATACATTTCTGAGCAAGAGAGTGACATGTCTGGTTGGAATACCACCAGTGGACATTTGCTGATAGCCCAGCAGGTTTGCTTTCCTGTTTTATCCCCACATAATACTTTGGTCTTTTCAAATCTCCTTCTGAATAATTCAAAACTTCATTAAATGACGTTCTGTGTTGAAGGACAAGAGCTTGACACTGCTATGATCAACTCTTTCTGAAAAACTACCAGGGCTTTCAAAAAAATGTGTGGAAGTTGTGTCCTTGCAGGAGGATGCTCATGCCTTCACATCGC